GTTAGGGTTAGGGTTAGGGTTGGTTTAGGGTTAGGGTTAGGGTTAGGTTTAGGGTTAGGGTTAGGGTTAGGGTTAGGGTTAGGTTTAGGGTTAGGGTTAGGGTTAGGGTTAGGGTTAGGGTTAGGTTTAGGGTGCTGAGTGCTTCGGAAGGCGCGGATTTGCCCTCCGCGGTTATGTCATCGCGGTAGGGTCGCCTTTTTCCTTAGCGCTTCAGACAGTGCGGATTTGCCCTCCGCACTTATGTCAGCGCGGATAAGGGCTTCGCGGTTTTGTGGGTGAACCACTATGCCCACCCTGGCTCTCTGAGGTCAAACACCACCCTGATGCTGTCTTCAATGAAAGCATATTAAAATAACAGAGATTTCATACTTCACCTAAAATCATCGTGCATTTTATAGTTTTCCTAAGCATTCTATACAATGCCAGCTTTTCACACACTGCTGGTAACATAAATAAGGTTTGATGGATTTTTTTAAGTATAAAAAAGCAATGGAAAGGATTATTACCTGAAATTCTTCAACAGTAATATAGACAGAGTTACAAAGCTGCACAGATTCCAATACAAGACAACAAGCTCTGAATACTAAATCTAACTCACGTGTAATCACTTGAACTTCAAGAGAACAGGTGCTGCTTCCAATGACATTGGATGCCATACATTGGTAACGTCCTGATGACAAAGAGCTAATATTGCGCAGAAGAAGAGTACCCTGAACTAGATCTAGACAGGAAAGACCAAAAACAAAATAAATAAAATCTTACCAATTAAAGTGCAATTTATATAAGGGAGAAGAACCATTTTACCCAAATTTTGAAAATGCAAATCCAACAAAATCTAAGTTATAATGTAAGGCTCTTAAAAGACAGATTACAAAATAACCTTCAGATGAAAGCATCTTTTACAAATGAGACTAGTGTTTAAGAAGCTTATAGCGGTCATTTTCTTCTGAAAAATTGTTATTATAATTTGAAAACCTAAGACCAAAGGAACACAGTAAGAAAACCTTTTTTAAAAAGCTATCACCAATCTATCACTCTAACAAGTGATCACTCTGACAATGTTTGAATGAGTCAGCTTTTCTTCTTTTTCTTGTTTTGACTTGTCTTTGCATTGTTTTTCTTTTCTTTTGTTTTTCTTCTTCCAGTATAGAAAACATTTCAGCCCGTGAAACAAGACTCACCAATGAATTTAAGAAAACCAATCACAGATCACATTATGCAATACCTTTTTTCCATCTAATCAAGCCTCCCCAGCAAATACACTCTGATTCCAACTTCCAGAAAAATATCAGATTTTAGAAGGCTATTCTAAATTTTTATAATAAATATTAAGTTTTGCAAATCAATAAATACATGAATATTAAGTAAATTTTGAGGTACAAAATAAACATATTTGTTATACTGTATGAAATATTTAGTAGGAGGAAAGTGACATAGCTTTTAAAATGCTTCAGGCAATCTGTCTCTCAATCTGGGACCGTAGGAAGTTTTAGATAATGTTTCCAGGAAGATTATTTTCACTCCAATCCTTGCTACAACCCTCTTGATCTAATCCTGAGTTTTAAGTGCTTAGCGAAACATGCCAATCAATTTTATATGTACTATACATATAATGTACTACGAAGAAATCTTTAGAAAAAAATAATGAACCTAGGCTATTAACTTTGGTTCCTGGAAAAACAAGTTTCCCATGTAGGGAGCACTACTGACATATCAATAAGATTACCACCATTGCCATCACTGTGACGGATATTTCCCATGCTTTATTGACCCAAAGTCTATGTACACAATCAGTTCCACTATAGTAGAATAGCTATTTGTGATTTTGAGCCAAAGATACTATAATTGGAAGTAACTGTTTGCTAAGACTTTGCTAAAATCTTTTTGTGGTGGTTGTTGTGGCTACAAATCACTGAAGACACAGTCTAGCAAAAAATCAGTTTATCTTTATTTGTATTAATTTCCTATATTTGTTTTGTATATTTTTAGAGTTTTTTCCAAGGATGCTTTCTAAGATGTGATGAATCACTGCATAATCAATGAAAAAAATGCGGCATAATTTTAAAAATTAAAGCTAAAAAGAAAAACTAAATTCCAAGTGTATTGTTAAGCACTGCTGCCTTTATACTTAATAACCAATAGCCCGCAATCAATGCTACCAATGGTTGGCTAATCACCCAACTTGGTGATACAATTCTTGGTTCTCCAAGAAGCATTTAAGAGAAGCTTATGATTGCATGTTTAAACCTTCAGTCTGACTTCTGATCTATCTTTTTATATGAACATTAGCAAACGTAATCAACTTTATCTTTCCCCAAAGTATGTTTTGTTCAACAAAATATTATTTCTTTCCCATTGAAACAATATTAGTTTCAAACTGACATTTTTCCCCTTCTTTTAGTCAGAAAAAGGGGCGCAGGAAATGTTGCTGATTAATCTGACAGAAGCTGGGGATTTTGTTCAATCTGGAATGTACTCAACAGTGTTCCAAAAGAACAGACACATGGGTGTTAACATTCAAACACAGAGCCTCCAAATTCATCTCAAAGGGGTGGGGGGAGAAGACTTTGTAAAGTTATTTCGGAACTGATAGAGGAGAACAGGAGAAGCTCTGGGTAGAAATATATCTCAACTGAGTATTGGGATCAATAATCAAAATTATGTTCCTGCAATCTATTTTCCTGAACTTTCAGATAGCTCTCCTATGTTTCTGGCTTTATTTTCACTTGATTTGTTCAAAAGCTACCTATTTACAATCTACCATTACTGTTCTAAGTACAAAATCTGATAAGATTTATTCTCGGCAAAACACTTTGAAAAGTCTGTCTACTATCATTACTCACTTTTCATCAGCTGCTGAAATATAGCCATATGTCTGTCTGTCTGCATCTAATAAGACTTTTGGAATAAAGTGACTATCTGCATTTTTTACTGATACATTTTTTTTAAAAAAAGTTTTATGTTGCAAATACTTAGATCAGGGGTGTCAAACTTGCATCGTCACAGCGGTGTTGCGTGATGTATAAGGACTTTTTCCCCCTTCGCTAAACCAGCATGTGACGTATCTGGCCTGGGGCAACGAGTTTGACACCCCTGACTTAGATGTTTTGAACATTCATTTTTTTAAAAAACCAAGTACTGTACCCTTGAAACAATCAAATATAAACTAATTTAAAAGAACAATGCAATTGAATTATTACAATAATCTTTTATGACTGCTGTGAACATGATTCTTTTTGATTAAAAAAAACCTGAAACAAGCAGAAGAGCATGCTCTATTCTTTGATATTTCCATCTTGAATTCTCCTCTTTAAAGTTTTATTTTTATTTTTTAGCATTTATTTCATGTGAGGGCAGACAGCACTGCCAAAACTCTAAAATCCTTTGTGATATCACATAACCTGTTGTTATGGGGTACATGATGTTTCACAGTCACCCTAGCTATATGAACCCGATTGCCTGGTATTACTATTCCTGTAAAATATATTACAAGGAAAAACAATTAAGGATGGTATTATTATGTTTTATAGTATATTTTATCATAATATTTGACCCATTGGATTTCTGGCCAATTTGCCAAAATAGCTAGCTACCATTACTTCAAAGTAATGTGTGCTATTTTATTTCATACATAAAAATATTTAAACTAATTAGAATTCCACTAGAGGGCACCCAATGCTTTTCAGGCTTGGTTGTCTTTATCACCCAAAACAGATTTTTCCCTTCTCTTGCTTGTTACTTTTAATGAGTTTTTACATTCAGATTATCAGCATTAATTGATAATATCAGCATTAATTGACAACATTAATTGCTTGCCTGTCTTCCATAACATGCTTGGTTCAGGTGCTTTGCCGAAGTAACTGAAGCAGACGTTTGGGGCAAAATGCAAAACTTACGACCACATGACAACCAAAATAAATTAAGAAAAATTAGTCAGGTGTCAAGAAAGAAAGAAAGAAAGAAAGAAAGAAAGAAAGAAAGAAAGAAAGAAAGAAAGAAAGAAAGAAAGAAAGAAAGAAAGAAAGAAAGAAAGAATGGTCACCTTGGATGGATGTTGGAGGCAGCTTGGGAGCATTATCCAGCCTTTCCCACTTGTAAGTTGGCCGAGGGATGCCTTCTTCTGAATTACAACTCAGTGTGATGTCACTACCAATATTCAAAGAACCCTGAATTCTGCAGTCAGGGGCAGATGGAGGAACTGTTACAATAGAAGATGGCATGGATTATTTACAGTAATTTTTCTTTTAACATTTTTGTCATCTTTACAAATATAGACACATTTTTTTTTTAAAGAGAGGATACAGATGCTCAAGACTGATAAGGAAGCAACACAGGGAAGGTAACTTGCTGAGACCTGCTATAGGTAGTCCTTGACTTATGACCACAAATGCTATTTTAGTCGCAAGCCATGGTGGTTATAAGTTGAGGCACCATGTGACCTGACTCAATTTTATTACCTTTTTTAAAACTGTCATTAAAGTGAACTACATGGTTGTTTATCAAATTACACATACAGTTCGAAGCCTTTTTATACAATGAATACTTTTGCCATTTTTTTGCCTGAAAATAGCAAAAAAATATATCACCAAATGCCCAAAATGCAATCATGTAATTGTAGGGTTGGTTGGCAGTCGTAACTCTGAGAATATATCTTATGTCACTTTTTCTCAAGTACATAATAACTTTCAACCTGTTAATCTTTGGCAACTGAGCTCAGTCATAATTGTAGGCTTAATTATGGCCATTTTTATTACTGTCCACACAGGGAAGAACAACATCTGTAGTCCCTCTCAATTATCACAATAAAGATGCGATTAAAATACTTTACTTTAAAGCTAAATTTCTTTATATTGATAAGGTTATGAGATTTATTTTTACAATCAATGTAGAGAAAGATAGTACAACCAGGAATAAAGTATGTACCAAATTCTTAAAAGCACCAAATATTAATATGGTCAAGCAAGTGCTAAAAATAAACTATACAGAGTTTAAAGGTAGTTTTAACACTAGCAAAAACTTTTGAAAATGTGCCACAATAAATCAAAAGTAGAAAGAATTCTTTGCCTTCTGTAAGTGGTTCTATCATATACTTCTGGCTCCTATTAACAGTCCTCCTGTATCTTCTACTATCTAAAGCTAACTGGAATATCTCATAACCCACTTCTGTTCCACTTATACCAGAACTACAAAAGTTATCTTTTAAGGGAAAAAGTTGAAAGGGTTTTCTATCTCAATTTCCCCCATTAGAAATCAGGAAACTCGACTATTTTACAATGCATTCAGAAGGTATTCAGACCTCCTTAGTTTTGTCAATTTTGTTTACAGACATTTCTAAAATCCTGTTGTCAGTTTACAAAATTGAAAAAAGCAGCCTGAATATTTCCTGAATGCCCTGTATATTAAATATAGACATGTTGGGTAAGGATGCTATTCTGACATTCTGGTCCCTGAATGAATCCAAAGTATCCATATACACTTATATTATGCAACAAAGGATTAAGTGATACATAATACTAATATCTGATATGGTAGGTGTTGTTGGGGTGTGGGTTTTTGTAACAAAGTGTGCGTGTATATGTTTGAACTATTTCTTCCTTTCTGCAGTGTCAACAAAATTACTACACTTTCATCTAAACAAGCTATGAATTTAAAAGGCATTTTAAGAAAAACAAATTCATTTTTTTTAAAAAAAAGAACAACATATTGGCAACAAATTTAAATGACAATCTGCAGGTATTGATTTTGGCAAGGAGATACCCTGTTTTCCCAAAAATAAGACCTCCCTGGATAATAAGCCCAAGTGGGCTTTTGAGCGCATGCGTTAAAATAAGCCCCCCCCTGAAAAGATTGCAACACAAAGCAGCCATGAGGTGACTACGCTCACTGCTTCCTGCACTTCAAAAATAATAAGACTTCCCCAAAAATAAGTCCAAGTGCTTATTTTTTTTGGGGGGGGGGGGTCAAAAGAAAATAAGACCCTGTCTTATTTTCGGGGAAACATGGTGGCCGATGAGTACAGATAATTGTCAATTTATGACATCAATTGAGCCCAAAATTTCTGTTGCTAAGCAAGATAATTCTTAACTGAGTTTTGCTCCATTTTACGACCTTTTTTCCCTCAGTTGTTAAAGGAATCACTGCAGTTGTTTAAAGTTAGTAAAATGATTGTTGAGTGAATCTGGCTTCACTTAACAATGAAGTGAAATGACTTTGCATGTCAGGTCACAAAAGGTGACTCTGGGACACTGCAACTGTCATAAATATGAATCGGTTGCCAAGCATATAAATTTTGATCACATGACCATGGGGGATGCTGCAATGGTCGTAAGTGAGAAAAACAGTCATAATTCACTTTTTAGTGCTGTTGTAACTTTGAATGGTCACTAAATGAATTGTTGTAAGTTGAGAATTATATGTATGGAAACCAGGCAGTTAGATGGGATACTAAGTGACTGAAGGGCCTTCCCTATTATTCAACTATTATTCAACTAAAGTGATATCCACTCCTGAGTCATTTTGTACAACTAGTCCTCAACTTACGACCGCAACTGAGCCCCAAATTTATGTTGTTAAGTAAGAAATTTGTTAAGTGAGTTTTGCCATATTTTACGACTTTTCTGGCCACGATTGTTAAGCGAATCATTGGAGTTGTTAAATTAGCAACATGGTTGTTAAGTGAATCTGGCTTCCCCATTGACTTTGCTTGTCAGAAAGTTACAAAAAAGGATCACATGACCCCAGGACGCTTCAACTATCATAAATATGAGTCAGTTGTCAAGCGTCCGAATGTAAATCACATGACCAGGGGTATGCTGTCATGGACATTAGTGTGAAAAATGGCCATAACTCATTTTTTCAGTGCCATTGTAACTTTAAACAGTCACGAAATGAACTGCTGTAAGTCGAGGACTACCTGTATTTCTACTGCCATTCCTTTCTGCCTTTATTCTTCCAGTTACCCATCTCTGCTAATTTGTATTGCTCTGATTTGGGAGTGGGCCTTTTGTAATAGGCAGTGATGGGTTTAACGAACTGGTTTTATTGTATTCCCTCTTCAACATCTCACCAACCAGCAGGTTAAGCATCTGCCAAGCATGACAGCAGAAACTAGGTGTGTTGTGACCTGTTGGACACCGGCTGCTCCAGCAGCCAAATCAGATGAGGAGGCAGCATGGGAGTCAGGGCATCAATGCAACCTGATTCCTCCGAGGGGAAAAAAGGGAAAAAAGTTGTCAGAGAGAGGGTTATTGATTGAACTACAGAGGATTTGTTGTGTTTAGGGAGCTGGGTCAGAACAAGGTGGGCCTAAGTAGTTTAGTTTAGTTTAGTTTATTTGGATTTATAGGCCGCCCTTTTCTGTTATCTCCAGTTGCTTTGTATGCCTCCTTTCCTATATTCTGTCATAATTGTAATGAAATATTTACATCCTATCCTTGTTTACTGACTGACACTCTGCCCAACAACGTGGCTAAGTGAAATGGTCAATAAGCACATACACACACACACACACACACATACAGAGAGAGAGAGAGAGAAAGAGTTAGTTTTCAAAGGACACTGTCTGATACTCTCCCCACTCCATTTTTGCCCCCTCACGGGACAATGGTTAAAGAAACTATCTCTTCCTGCTTTTTTCCTCAGGCAACACTTCTCTAAAAAGTGCTAACTGTGTTAACAAGCTCAGCTCTGTGATCTTAATTAGTTTATTAGGACCCTCTGGCAGTCTTTAGGCACCTGGAATTTGCTGATAATTGCACATATTGGGCAGAATTTTTTTTTTTTTATTAACACTTAATAATCTCATATTTGTGAATGGTCCCTAGCCAAGGTAGTCACTAAATGAGGAGTGGCTTTAATGAAAACAAAAATATGCAGAGAGTTGAGTTGCTAACGGCAGTTTTGAAACGAGACCAATTTTAATTCTAACCCCTTCCCATTGTTTTACTGTTGCGTTATTTCATATATGAAATGTATTTCAGATATGATTGCTTATTTCTACCCTATGACTATCATTAGGTTTGGACTTTATGATTCTTGGCGAATGTATCTTGTCTTTTTATGTACAATGAGAGCATATGCACCAAAGACAAATTCCTTGTGTGTCCAATCACACTTGGCCAATAAAGAATTCTATTCTATTCATGAATGAAGCTGGGAAGAATCATAGAGTTAAAGCAAATTATAGTTATCTAGCACTCTTGTGCAAAACTGATGGACCACTGACATGGCAGCAGTTCTTGCTCCAGAAGCTTGCTTACAATTAAAATTAAAAAGAAAGTTGTACATCAGTTCATCTCCATATTTTAAATCTATCATCCATTTTACAAAGATCATACCCAAGACATTGAGCCCAATGACTCCAATATTCCGTCCTCCTCGGTCTGGTAGATTATTCACCAAACACTGGTACGTTCCCGTATCTGAGAGCTTGGTATTGTTGATGAAGATGGAGGCACTGGTGGTTGGCATTGTTTTTGCAAACCCCACTCGCCCATGAAACTGGGCTGCACCATCAATAATCTGACCACCCTGGTAAAGAATAACCTGAAAAAGACAAAACATCATATCATGCAAACTAAAAGTTAGAGCAGTGTTTCTCAACCTTGGCAACTTGAAGATGTCTGGACTTCAACTCCCAGAATTCCCCAGCCATGCGAATGCTGGCTGGGGAATTCTGGGAGTTGAAGTCCAGACATCTTCAAGTTGCCAAGGTTGAGAAATACTGGGTTAGAGTAAGAAAGTACTTTACTCATTATGCTCTGATTACAATATCTCACCTGTATAATGTGATTTAAAAATACTTCAGTGTCTAGCATAAACCTGGTTTTTGGATCCTTGTTTTACGCACCGTTTCTTTTATTTCTGGTATGGAGACGTTTTCATGATGATTTCTTTTACTTTATTTATGGTCAAAAATCACTTTTTTTTTACAAAAATGCATAAAGAAAATTGAATAAAATAATCAAAAAGTGCGCACACCGTTATATAGATGTAATTGGGGAAATATAAATGCAAAATCGGTGTTTGTGTACACAGCACAAAAGGATAAAGTAGCAGCCAATCTCACAAGAAATAAACAAAATCAAACTTTTTGTAATAAAAGTACATATCATGCATAAAAATAACTTTTTATAGCTTTGTATATTAAAATAGAAACGTGTAATATCAAAAATTATAAAACTAGTCAATTCAACAAAATATTATAAGTTAGTAAAAAGGGAAAATGAAACTCCTGGCAAATTGGTCAAGCTGAAAAATCCATAGGGACCACTGGATGGCAGTGGTTGGTTTCAACTTAAGAAAGAGTTTCTGTAAAAGTTTAAAATGGATTCCAAATCACAAAATAATTTAAAGAAAAATTATTTACTATTGGACAGAGATAAGCATCAAATTACTGAGTTTGTATGAAGAACTAAGACAAAACTTAACACAGAAAAATAAGTATCAAAGTTCTTGTGCCCATTCCTTCCTAGACTCATTACCTATTTCTAAAGAAATAGAATTCACTTGAAATCAGATCTTCCTTCTGATTGAATTCCATGGATTTCAATTTTTCGCCTTGAAATTCCAAACTTAAATTTGCGGTGCTAAGGAATCAGTGTTTACAAAGCAAAAAAAGTATTTCTTTTTCCTTAAGATATTAATTGATCATATGAGCCAACGTGACAGCAAGTGACCATCTACATGCATGAAGAATACAGGGCAACAATTTAAGAGTCTGCTGTTATGGGAAATACAGGCTAACATTCTCCAAAGTTATATATGAAGAAGCCAGGGGTGTTTTCCGGCTTCTGTTACTGCTGGTTCACTCTGGGACACGCTTGATGCGCATTGCACGCATGCTTGATGTGCATTGTGTGCACATGCACAGTAATATCTTAAGGAAAAAGAAATACTTTTTTTGCTTTGTAAACACTGATTCCTTAGCACCGCAAATTTAAGTTTGGAATTTCAAGGCGAAAAATTGAAATCCATGGAATTCAATCAGAAGGAAGATCTGATTTCAAGTGAATTCTATTTCTTTAGA